CTTATAATATTTCCACATAAGCCTAGAGCTTCGTTTTTGAAACCTAGTAGTAGTCACATAGTCACTATGAACGGAGTTCCAATTTCCTGGTTAAACCAAGTGAAATATCTTGGATTAATACTTGACCAAAAATTAACTTTTAAAGATCACATTGAGGGCATTCAAGCCAAATGTATCAAATATATAAAATGTTTGTATCCTCTTATAAACAGGAAATCCAAACTTTGCCTGACGAATAAACTTCTAATATTCAAACAAGTTTTTAGACCGGCCATGCTTTACGCTGTGCCAATATGGTCTAGTTGTTGCACTACCAGGAAAAAAGCACTTCAAAGGATTCAGAACAAAATTTTGAAAATGATTTTGAAGTTGCCTCCCTGGTACAGTACAACCGAAGTACATAGAATTTCGAATGTTGAGACTTTAGCATAAATGTCCAACAAAATAATTAATAATTTCAGGCAAAAATCGTTGCAATCCTCAATTGCAACGATTAATTCCCTTTATACTTAGATAAGATTTAGTTTTAGTTTTTAGTTTTAAGATATCAATTGTTATACTGACATGCAGGTTAAAACAATCATAACAATTAAGGCTGGTACGTTACTGCAGTAACTGGAGCACCTAGGTTAAAATGAAATGTAATTTATTTTGAATTTGGAACAAATAAAGAGTTAAAAAAAAAAAAGAAAGCAACATAATATATCACTTTTAACACGTATCATGTCGCATTATGAATCATTCAACATTTGGAAATATGACACCTTTCCCTAAACTAAACGACGTCAAACGCACAAATTAACAGCAGGTACCATGACTATCGTCTAACTCAGTGGTTCTCAATCTTCCGTCGGTTACGACTCGCTTTGAGAAATTAGTGATAAACTGATTACGAAGATGGTCCCAAAAAAAATTTTCAGCTTGATGATGATGATGATAATTGTCTACCACTCATTGTAGCACGGAAACTAAGTCCGATAGCAGTGGGCACCCCTCACTGTTTGATTTGATCCAGCTTAATTACCTCTGATTGTCCTCAACATGTCACTGTATGAAGGGCCAAAAACGGTTTTGGTGGATCGATAGGTAATTTCACTTATACGCTTCCACGGGATGATAGATTATCTCCTTCCAGCCACATGATCATACAATTGGTCAAAAAACGAGCCGTTCGACAGAAGAATACCCCAATGAGTGTGGAGAAGATCTCGCCCTTTTTCCACGAGAGTTAACATCTTTATTTCTTGTATTTGTGTGGTTTGCATGTATTACTTATCAAGTGACACAGATGCGTCTTTTCAACTTTAGTTCTTTTGAATTTTAATTATTATTAGTTACAGTTCCTAGTCCTATCAGGCCTGTTTTAAAGAATGACCAACTTGAGCAAACGATTGAGAATGAGTTTCTCGATCAATTTGTTCAGCGCTGAAAGGAGGCTGATTGGTCTGTAGCTTGAAGGCAATGTTGGATCCTTACCGGGCTTGCGGATTGGTATGATTTTTGATACCTTCCAGATGCTTGGAAAGTAGTGCAGTTCCAAACATCTGTTGAAGATAGCGGTTAGAAGAGACTGCACTTTCATGCTGAGTCTCTTCAAGATCAAGTTGAATATACCGTCAAACCCGGGAGCCTTCATGTTCTTGGTGCATTTCAGTGCTGAGCAAATCTGTTGTACTGTAATCATATCCGCCGGAGGCACGACACACGGGGAAGCATCTAGGTTTTGAACGCATTGCGTAACCTGATCATCGAGCGGACTTTGGATAGTCGAGCCAATCACATTTGCTTTCTCCTGTGGGGTGTTTAAAAACCGATCGTCATCATTTTCGACTATGAGAGGTGGAACGGGTTTGGGATGAGTTTTCAGGACCTTGGCTACCCTCCAGAATGGTCTGGAGCGGTCGTCCACATTCTGGACAACACGTCCGAAACTTTCATTTCGGAGTGAGTCCATTCTGGAAACAATCTGCCTGTTCAGATCGACCATTTCACGTTTTTTGCCCAGATCTCTAGTCCTCTGAAACTGGCGTCTACGAACATTTCTCAGGCGAATTAAGAGTTGGGTGTGGGAATCAATAGCAATAAACTTACCCCTCACAGGAACTCGTCGGACGCACGCCTCGTCAGCCACGGTTATGGCTTGGTGGAGTCCCTCCAACGCTCGGTCGATGTCCTCCACGGTGTCAAGCGACGGGTTGTCGATGATGTGCCTGTCTACCACGCGTCCAAACTGGGCCCAGTTTACGCGATGATAGTCCTTGCGCAGGCTTAAAGCAGGAGCCACGTTGCAGCCCAGTTCAGCCACCACCGGTTGGGGGTCGGAGCTGAGTTCGTTCAAGGCTACCGGCTTGGACAAGCCGGTATTTTTCAGGAATAGGTCTAGCGTCGATGGGTTTCCCACCGGTAAGATGATTGTTGGCTCATTCGAAAACCAAACGGAGTACAGCCCATTCTGCGAGTGGTTGAACAGCAGACGACCGTTCTGGTTCTGCCTGTAGTTCCGCCAGGCCTCATGGCGAGCATTTAGATCTCTTCCAACTACGAAGCGGGAACCGGTACGGGTGATGGTGGACAGGTCCTTCTTGAATTTAGCCGCTAGTCCACTGCTGGCGGCACACTGTCGAGGGCAGTAAACGGCGATGAACTGGACGTATCCAGTCGACGACTCTACCTCCACACCAAGGGCTTCGATGATAGAGGTGCGGATATGGGACAGAGTGTGTTATTTTATTCCTTTCTTGACGACGACCGCAACATCACCCCCCTGGAGCTGGGGCGATCAAGCCGAATAATGTTGTGGTCAGGCAACCAGAAGCTGTCGCCGGACTTTAGATGGGTCTCGGTTAGATGGCCCACGACGATGCTGTGCTTGCGGAGGAAGTCGGCAAGCTCAATCTCTTTTTCTCTTACGGAGCAAGCATTCCAGGTGACGATAGTTAGCAGTTTAGACGCCATACTGGATGATGGACTTACCGAGCACTTGGATCTGTTCGGGCTTGCTGCGGCACTGACGAAGAGCGTCATGTGGACGAAATCTTCATCAGTTCATCCGCAGAGAAGAGATCGGGATTGACGTTTTGTGCTGATGGTTGTCTCCAGAATCTAGGGGAGGGGGATGGGGAGCCTTGTCCAGCAGAAGTACCAGACGTTACTTGACGAGGGCCGGATTGCACCCGCGGATTTGCTTGACCGTGTTGCGTAGCACGAAGAGGTGGGAAGTCCTCCACTCTGAATGCCGGCGTATTGTCCTTCTTTCGTCCTGGTTGGTTTTTTGTGGACACCTGCTTTCGAATCCGCTTGAAATCTTCGCGTTTGGGGCACTGTTTTTCGGATCCTTGATGAGCGCCACCACAGTTGGTGCATTTGGCCGTTTCGGACTCGTCGATATCACACTCGGAGGAGATATGGTTTTGGACGCATTGGCCACAGCGCGGCTTGATGTAGCAGTTTCGGGTACCGTGCCTAAAATTCAGGCAACGTTGACACTGGGTGACGGCAGTTGGGGCAAGCTTGTAGCGGTCCTTGATTTCCGCTTCGATTAACTTCGGGTCAAAACTCGGTAAACTTCGGATGACCACTTTGAAGGGCATCTTGCCTGGGATATCGTGGGTGAAGAATTCCGTCTTGGACTTCTGCAGGCAAGATGTAGTCAGCTCGTATTCCGCTTTCATGCAGAGCATCACCTTTCCGATTGTTCCGATTCTACTGAGTTTGAACTCAGCTTTAATACCCATGGACGCGAAGCTAGCGATGAGCGTGTTTAGAGGTGTATTTTTCACTACCAACGGTGGTAGTTTGACCTTTGCCGCATTTGGGCTGGCATTTTCGGTTTCATCAGCCATACTGAAATCGCCGATATCGCTGACGCTTGTCGCGGTAACATCATAGAGGTAACTCTAAGACAAGAAGGTCGCGAAGAAAAGTGCTCAACTTTTTGGCTCAGCTCTTCGGTCCCAAGCTAATCGATTCACCCCTCGAAACATAGGAAAATCCATGAACCCCTCATTTTATCTGTCAAAATTTCATAGCGAATCAAAACAAACATTGCGTAGTACTAGAATTTTGACTAGAATGGGGTCCGTTAATCGATTTGCTTGGGACCAATAGGCTAGTCAAGTAGTGAGCCAATTTAAAAATCGTTAGTTTCGTATTGATTGTTGCCACTAATCTCCCATGTTATTTCTGATGTGTTCTACAACATATCGACGTCCATTATGTTTGTCTGATGATCTTGAGCTTGGAACGTTTGAAAAACCGGAACACCTATGCGGAAAATGGACAGTGTCCAGACTTTCAGGAAAGTTAAAAGATCTGTAAAGCTTAGTTTCGATAAATTCAGGGCAGCTTCATGAATTTCAGGAAAATTTCGAAAAACTCTAACAAGTTCCGGGAATTTCAAAGAAGTTCTGAGAGCTCCTGAGAAGCTTAGAAAAGTTCAGACATGTTTTCGGAATTTTAAAGAAATCCATAGATTTTCAGGAAAGTTCCATTTATTTCACCAAGAGCTTCGGGATTATTGCGAGAATTTCAGGCTTTTTTTGAGAACATCGGAGTTCCGAGAAGCTCAGGGAAAACCACAGTAAAATTTCGAGATCTTCAGAGTAGTCCAAAGAACATCATAGAAGTTTAAAGATTCCGTATTGCTCAAAAGCCAATATGTGATAATATGTCTTTAGTTTTATTGCGAGCCGTGAACAAGCGTGATTTTTTTTTTCCTATTTAAGTTATCCACGTGGTATATGGATGTCCCCCTAGTATGTGGCCCCTGTAAAATCATCAATGTCAATGCCAAACAGAGTGACCTCCAAGTAGACGTATAATATTATTCCCAACCCAATACATGTTAAAACAACAGACACACAAATATTTGATGAGGTTCTCATGTCATAATCATTTAGTTAACTGGAATCATTAACAGTTTAACCATATACAGACGTATGCCAACGTTCCTTTCTATTCATCGTTTCGCCATTCAAGCATTCACTTGCCTCCGCGTCGCGATGAAATTCAAACAGCTCGGTAAAGGCGTAATTCGATCGCTCAATGAAAAACCCAACGAAAAATCTGTCGGAAAACCCGTTCAAAATGAACCAGCTGATCGTTTGACCATCCCCAGACCTGTATTTTTGCGCTGGTTCAAAAGCCAACTGAAGGAGCTGTGCCAAGCTACCGCTCTGCATGGGTACAGTCAAATTGTCCGCGAAGGCTACACTCCATTGGAACGTGCCATTTGGATTTTCTCGGTAAGCTCCGCTTTCATTACGGCTACCGTACTGCTCTGGATCTCGTGGACCTGGAATGCCGAAACTCCTACGGTTACTGTAATCGAAAGCACCAACTATGCCACCTGGAATGTCCCCTTTCCTGCTGTGACTATTTGCAATTTGAACAAAATTCACTACGGAAATGCATTGAAATGGGCCGAGAAGATGTAACTATAAATCGTTTGAATAGAAGTTGCAGTTTATATCACAAATCAGTTTTTGTTTGCATAGGATTCGCCCAGACAATCTCAGCGCAGAGCAATTGGTGCGGGATTTCCGACTTTTGCTGCACATAAATGGATTAGCAGAAAGCAAAACAAGCGAGTACAATGCATTGCACAATCTGATGTTGCTAAACAATCTGGAAGTTCCCCAACTGATGGGAGAGTTTGCCCCATCGTGTTCCTCTATGTTCGAGCGATGCATGTGGAAGGGAACCCAGTGGAGGTGCGATAACCTGTTTCAAATCGTCAATACCACAGAAGGACTATGCTGCTCGTTCAATTACTACGGGACGAGATCCAACAACTATTTGAAGTAAGTATCGATAGTAAGTAGTGTATGGGTAGGGAAACCCCTCCAATAAAGGAGCCATGCAATGCATCGTTTCTTCGCACGTTTGAAAAATTCTCTTCAATTTGGACTTATAAACATAAAGTATAAATATTACTAAATAATTTATAATTTAAATTTTGAAACTGCCACGCCCGAAAGGAAAATTTCAGCAAGCATTCCAACCGAGCCCAGACGAGTCACTGCCAGCGGTTACCAAACAGGTCTGTCATTGATTCTCAATCCAGATGTGGAAAATTATCACACCACCGACATTGCAACAACGGGATTTAAATTTCTAATCCACAATCCTTTCGACTATCCGGATGAGAACGCTGAGACGAAGATAGTCGGTTCCAATATGGAGGCTTTCATCTCAATCCTACCAAGTAGGTTGGCGTGTTTCAAATGGTCAACAATGTTGGCGTGTTCATTGTTTTTTACACAAATTGCTCTTTTGTTAATAACTTTTCACTCAGTTGGTGATACTTGGTTTAAACTTTGAGCAAATAATAGAGCAGGATCAGAGTTCACAGTAGACACAGTAGTTAAATCATTACATTTGAACGTCCTTTTGTCCATTTTGATATTGTTTCCATTCGACCTTTTGTCCATCTAATTTCAATTTGACCTTTTGTCCTTCAATCTTTTCGCCTACAACCATTTTACGTACCTATAGAGATTTTTACGCCTGGTTGTATTGGCACGCTGTGTGAAACTGTGGTAGTGAAAATCCGAGGAAAATACATAACAAATCACTGTCAAACTCATTTTGACAGATCGAATTACATACATTTTGAGGTTATCCCGAGGAAAATAATAAACAACTTTACTCGGCGATAGACCTCCGTTGGCGCACACAAATACACCTTTTAAACTGCAGGAGTGTGAGCAAGAGAGAAACAAATTAGTGGGAAAACAAACCATCCATTCATTCCTGTGTGCTGGACAGAGAAAGTCGATTAAACGTCAAAAAGGTCTCTATAGAGATTATTAACGTATAACGCACGCACACTAGTGGGTGCACCACCGTGTAAAGTTGTTTATTATTTTCCTCTGACTAACCTAAAAAATGTATGAAATTAGATCTGCCAAAATGAGTTTGACAGCGATGTGTTATGTATTTTCCTCGGATTTTCACTAACACGTTCTCACATATCGCACCAATACAACCGGACGTGAAAATCTCTACACGGCGAATGAGAACAACCCAAATTTGAGTTTAGTTCACTCATAATCGCCAAAAGTGCAGGAACTCAGCGATAAGTAAAATTTGTCCCATGGTTTCCTGTGGAAAACCTAAAAAATCTGCCGGAAAATGAGGAAATTGACGAAAATTTTATTCAGTCTCGGTGTAGTACCAATAGACTGAGTGCATCCAATCTTTACTTTTCTCAAATTCGGGAATTTTTCCCTGGAAAATCCTGGAAAAACCTGGGAAAACATGTGGAAAATTTACTCATCGCTGAGTTCCTGCACTTTTGGCGATTATGATTGAACTAAACTCAAATTTGGGTCGTTCTCATTCGCCGTGTATAATCCTCTCCACACGGCCAACCAGAACAACTCAGCGACTGAATTCAATCAATTCAATTGACTCAGAGCATTTTCTTTCCATACGAAATTTACTCATATTTGGAAAAACCTGCAGTTACTCATTACTGCAGGTTTTTCAAAATATGAGTAAATTTCGTATGGAAAAAAACTCTGAGTCAATTGAATTCAGTCGTTGAGTTGTTATGGTTGGCCGTGTTCGTATTGTTGTGATTTGTTTATGTGTTTTGTTATCAGAGAGAACTTCAAGATTAGGGCGTATTTGCTGTTGTAAACAAAGACGTCAATCGCCGATTTCTCGCGAATCAAAGCTCATTTTCAAAAACTAAGAACACAAACAGGTAGAGGAACGATTCTTTTATCATTTGGTATGGTTTGTTTGCGAGATTGAGCTTTTATTCGTTAGCAATCGGCCATTGACGTGTTTGTTTACAAAAGCAATTACGCCCAAATCTCAAAGTTCTCCGCTGTTAATCGTTACTATCAATCGATATAAAAATAAACAACAAAACGAAAACAAACCGTAAACAGGCACGGTAAGAATCAAATCCCCTTGTATGGGTAAAATTCCATTCATTTTCATTAAAAGTGGCTTTACTCATTAACGAGTAATTTATTTTAATAATTAAGAGTACACACTTAGAGATAACTACTTTTACACGAGACGTAATCCATATTGGGCATAAGTTATGGAACGTAAACAATCATTTCATGTACAATTAAGCGTTCAACCGAAACATAAGCAAGTCTACGAAGAGAAAGTTTTGTTTTTTTTTGTTTTTTTTATTAAAGAGACTTTTAGCCCTAGGCTGGTTCGTCTCTAAAACTTCAAGAGGGGAGGCTCTCAAAAAGGTAGGGGTGACAGTTCCAGATGGGAACTTTTTTTAAACGTATTTTACTAATAGCGAATTTGTTTATTGTCGGGGTTGGAACCAGTTCCAACCCAGTGTGAAACCGAACTTTTTTGTCAGTGCAAACCCCAACCTGAGATAGGTTTTAAAAACAAACGATCAAACTGACGTTTGTCAGAAAACAAACAGAGCTGATCTTGATACCAGCCGGCGCAGGTGGTGTAGTGGTAAGCGTGACTGCTTTCTAACACCCCAATGGGTCTGGGTTCAATCCCCAGCCGAGGTCGGTGGGATTTTTCGGAGGCATAAAAATCTCTGGTTACGTCTTCCTTCGGAAGGGAAGTAAAGCCGTTGGTTCCGGCCCATGTGTGTTGTGAATGGGTGCGAAGCTGCCTTCCTGCACATTCGGTTGCCGTCAATGGATGGCAATCGATGTCCGTCGGTGATTGGCACTAGATTGCGGAACAGAGACCGACGTTAAATAAAGAAAAAAAAAAAGATCTTGATACCCGATCCAGGTTGGAACTGAATAATAAACAAATTCGCTATAAGTAGGGTTAACTACCCCATTTTCGGCCTAATAAACACAACCCGCACTTAGTCTTTCTTAGTCTAGCGCAGTTTAGCACCAAACGGAATGTTATTATTACTGATGGATTCCAAATTTATTTACCTTTCCGTATGTACCGTAAGATTTGATAAAGAGAAACCAATCGTTGAGATATTGTCAAAAGTATAACACTGCTTCTTGACACCAAACTCGGCCTACGGATTCTAAACTCGGCCTAATGCATTGAAACGCAATTGAAACGCCAATGAATTCACTTCGACCTTTCGGATGAAGATAAAAATTGAGTCGCTTCTTTTGTTTTTGGGAATAATGGGTGCAAACCTTCATACCACGCGTTCTCATTGACTTCGTTCGGTAGTTTATTAACTAAAGCATCGTACCAAACGCATAATTTACTTGTTAACTCTGAAATCATGGATTTATTTGAAGTTTTCTGCTCGATAGGCCCAAAATGGGTGATTAGGCCGAAGTAGATCTCTACCCTATTTTTAAACAGAGTTTTGTTTTGTTCCTGCCTCGTTTCAGTTAAGGGGTTCCTGATTCCAGTGTGCCCGTTTACGTTGCGCTAGGTCTGGTGTAAATAGGGTTTGTGTTCGTTCGGGTCGTGGTGATATTTCCGGTCTTCGGGAATGTCGTAGCATGTTCTAGCTCCTGCATACTTTGGACAATGACATGAAGTGTTCCACAGTTTGCGGCGTGAGGCATAGATCGCATATCCTTCTAAAAGGCCCATCTCCCTTGTAGTTGTGGGATATATTTGTATGGCCAGTTCGAAGACGGGATATCACGACCTGCTCCCGGTGCAGTGATGGGTCGTCCCATCTAGTAATAGTATCTTTTAATTTTCTAATAGCTGGTGTTCTAGCTGCCATCCAGTCGCGGCTCCAGGAAAGCTTGATAATTTTGGGTACCCATTTTTTTTAGATCAGGTCCTGGGACCTCTCGCGTATATTTAGCCATGTGCCGACCCAAAGAGAACGTTTGATTGCATTGATTTTCTCGTTTCTTTCAACTGATTCTTATGTCAACAGGGCCGCTTACATGTTTTGGTCTCAGGAAACCGAAATTTACATTACTTTTTCTTAGTATGTAGCTGCTAAATTACTCATTACTGAGTAAAGCCACTTTTATTGGACATGGATTAAATTTTACTAATAAATTAAATGTTATTTTTGCTGTGTACTGTTTGTATTATCATACACGGTAAGAAAAAAGTACCCAAAAGTAAGTTCTTTTCACTCATCTCGGCACTATAGTGCAGGAACCCAAAAGTAGGTAAAACGGGTCATAGTAGTTTTCATTAACTTGTGTGCAATTCGTATGGAATTTTCCACTCGCGTTATACCCAAAAGTAAGTTAGTTGTACCCAAAAGTAGGTAAATATGATTATACTCAACGTTGGCTTCCCACACTTTACTACCCCTGCTGGGTGGTTTTGCTCCTCCGTTTTTGACAACATTAGAAGGAGAAAAGGAGACAAACTAGTCAATAGTAGGTAAAAGTGAACTGGCCGTTGGGTACTTTTTTCTTACCGTGTAGAGGTAACTCTAAGTCCAGGAGGTCCGGAAGATACGTGCTAAACTTTTTGGCTCAGTTACTATCTTCGGTCCCAAGCTAATCGATGCACCCCTCGAAACATAGGAAGATCCACGAACCCCTCATTTTATCTGTCAAACTTTCATTGCAAATCAAAACAAACATAGTGTAGTATTAGAATTTCGACTAGAATGGGGTACGTTAACCGATTTGCTTGGGACCAATAGGCTAGTCAAATAGTGAGCCAGTTTAAAATCGTTAGTTTGCACCAGTTGGTATTAGCATAGAGGTAACTCTAAGACTAGAAGCTCCCGAAATAACGTGCTCAACTTTTTGGCTCAGCTCTGGTACTATCTTCGGTCCCAAGCTAATCGATTCACCCCTCGAAACATAGGAAAAACCAATAACCCCTCATTTTATCTGTCAAACTTTCATAGCGAATCAAAACAAACATTGCGTAGTACTAGAATTTCGACTAGAATGGGATACGTTAATCGTTTGCTTGGGACCAATAGGCTAGTCAAGTAGTGAGCCAATTTAAAATTGTTAGTTTCGTATTGATTGTTGGCATTAGTGTTTGTAGAGTTATAATATAGCGTAGTGTTCATGTGATCCCACTTGGAGAACTCTATAGGGACCTAAAACCACAAACGAAGTGACAGACGACTAACTGGCGAAGAAATCCATTAAAATAATGTGGTTCACTGTAATAGAATTTTCTAAAAAGCTTGTGCTAGTATTTTTGTTTTGATTTAAACAAAGTTGATTATGTGTGCAATGATCCTTGACAGTGTGCAAAAAGTGTATGATTTTGTCATTTTTTTTTATGCATTTCAGTTTTGAATAGAGTGAAAGAGATAGAACCAAACATTATAGTACATTTAGTGTTGCCATGTGGTACAATCATCAATCAATTCGAAACTAACGATTTTAAATTGGCTCACTGCTTAAAATTATAGTACTATACAATGTTTGTTTTGATTTGCTATGAAAGTTTGAAAGATAAAATGAGGGGTTCATGGATTTTCTTATGTTTCGAAGGGTGCATCGATTAGTTTGGGACCGAAGAGAGTACTAGAGCTGCGCCAAAAAGTTGAGCACGTATCTTCGGGACCTTCTGGTCTTAGAGTTACCTCTATGGTACAATCCAGTAGTAGTGTTGCCAAAGTTTTCGAGCCGCTTCGTGCTCAAACTCTTTCCTATCTGGGACGTGACTTCACGATCGAGCTCTTTTCTTAATGTTTTTGATTAATGCCATTCGAAAATGTGTGCGTAGTGTTTGTCGGAGTTGACCCATTGACCAGGATTGAAGAAATTTTTTAACTTTAATTTGGATTCGATTCGGAGCTTCTACTGCAATTTAGCACGTTGTATATCATTTCAGCTATACAATAAAACCAACCATTAACAAACAACAGTATCCAGCACTTAAAACACATAGTGTTCTTAATTTTTCAACTTTACTATAGCAAATATAAACAGCTAACAACGCCATTTACGTCAGCATTCCTTCAGAATCACTGCTAGTAAGATTGCTGAGATCTCTCTGTTTTTTTTTTGCACGATTGCTTCTGTCAAATCGACCATCAGCAACCAGGGCGTGATGTGCTACCAAATCGGCCTACTGAAAATCCATCAATGAGATGGAAATTTGTAAGGCTCAGTGAATTTGTCATCTCTTTCGTTCTCCCGCTATTTAAACGGTTGAAGGAGTGTGACGTCAAAATCCGTCATTAATTTCAGCCAGATAACGAAAGAGATGATAAATTTACTGGGTCTCAATTTGGGAATTTGGTAACAAACATAAACAAACCATCGTTTCTTACGGTTTTGTTGTCGTTTGGAACCAGTTATGCGAGGTAGGCGACGATTGTTAGTATTTGACAGTCACCTCCAAAGATAGTTTCATTAACTTCTGTACCATGGGGTAGGTCACTCCGCACACCAATCTTGGGTCATCTTTTTTTGTCAGTTTGCCGCAGGTGTGCCGATTGTGCCGGTCATAGAGCAAGCTGCGATTGTTTGTAAAATACCCATCCCGGCAACCCGGTATTTCTGACACCTTGAATGTTTTGGTTTAAAATCGCAAGGATAAATCGGATTAAGGATGACGCGGGAAGTGCCTGGTGTTGGTGTTTTATGTTCATAGGATGATAAAAGTCCTGCGTTTTAGTCTTCTATAATGCCCTCAAAGGCAGACCAGAAACCTAGCCTTGCGTGATGTGGAAAGCATCGGTCTATCAGTGGCCGGAAAGAGTTGGAACCGGTGGGGAGCATTGTTGGAAACTGACTAAAGACGATGATGAATGGACTTCTTCACATTGTTTTGTGTGATTTGCAGCATTATTTGGATTAATGGTACCTGATTAACTGGTTCTTTCTCTTAATCCCACTCTAGAACCTCCATTTCGTTTTTAGATAATTTTTATAAGTGAACTGCTGATCTGAGTTCCTCTGGTATATTAAATTTGAGGATGTTCCTGAATATACAGTCAAACAGTACGTAATGATGTTAACAACTTCAATGACAGTTGTCCAGTAGTGCTCCCATTTTAATTACAGCAACCCAATGCCTACGAGATTGTGCCGATGGTGTGCCGATGGATGTGCCCAAGTTGTTTCGAATCTAATTTCGGCACAATGTGCTGAGTGACTTACCCCTTGTTCTGTACACACTTAATCTAGCTCGGTAAAATCTCCAAAAGCCGATTACCTCGGCATTTACTTTTGCTGATATCTCTTCAAAATATCTGTTTGTTAACTGATATCTTAGCAAAATGTTATTTGTAAGCTGAGTCTCGGCAAATGTTTACTGAATCTCAGCCAACTATATAGCAGAACTGCTCGGCTGTTGGAATCTCGGCAAAAAATTTAAGTGTGTAAGAAATTCGAAAACTTGGAAATTTCAGAAAAGTCCAGCAAACTTCAGTGAACTTACGGAAACTCCATAAATATTTTGGAAACTTCACAAGTCCAAAGAATTTCAGGGAAATTTTATGGTTTTCAGGACAGTTGCATCTGTTTCAGGAGAATTTATAGAACTTTAGGAATTAATTAATTAATTTAGCTTTATTTAGGAGGCTTTCAGCCTTAGGCTGGTTCGCCTCCAAACTTTAGGAAGCTCCGAGAACATCAGAACAGATCAATTAATGTCAAGGAAATTGCAGAAGTTTTAAAGGAGGTCCGAGAAACTCAGGCAATTTCCGAAAACTTCAGCAATGTTCTGAGGAGCTCATGTAAATTTAGAAAACGTAAGGGCGCTCTGGCTTCCGACTTTCTCCAGAAGTTTCTTTCAATCTATCTTAGGAAGTTCCTGTCAGCGTCTCCAGGAATTTCAATTGGGTTCTTTAATTTTGAAAAATATATTGGTTTTTATATATCATCTGAAAGAGCTTCGTTTTCTGAGCACAGCGATATTTTTTTCGAACCCACACACTTTCATCTCGATTTTTAAACCAAGATTTAAAGCAAAATAATAACTTCACTGTTTGACACTAAACTGACAAAATGACAGCTCGCTCCCATACAAAGTGACACCGAGGGGCGCTAAAAAGGTGATTTTTGCAAATGTAATCGTTCTTATTTTAAATAGTTCCAGTGTACCAAAATTGATAAAATTTTGGGTTTGGGTTCCATTTTCAATGCAGATTACGAATATGCATTTACCTCAATACCCTTACACGCTAACTTGAAAGTACTCATTAATGAGTAAAAAAAGACCCATTTTGAAGAAAAGTGGCTTAACTCATTAATGATTAAACAATTTTACCCATTAATGAGTATCTGTTACCCATTAATGATTAACAATTACTCATTAATGGGTAACAGATACTCATTAATGGGTAAAAAATTTACTCATTTAATGAGTTAAGCCACTTTTCTTCAAAATGGGTCTTTTTCAACCATTAATGGGTACTTTCAAGTTAGCGTGTAAAGAACCCAATTAAACTTCTCCCAGAAGTTTCTTTCGTCTTCTTCTTGAAGTTTGTCCATAAGCTATAGTTTTTTCGACTTCTATTGGAAGGTTTTTCCGAGCTTCTTCTGGCTTTCCCTGGATATGGCTTCTTATGGAATTTACTTCTAATTTCCGAAACGTTTCCCTTGTTTTGGAAGTTCCCCGGACGTTTTTCAGACTTTTCTTAGCACTTTCCTCAAACTTCGTCTATGAGAGCTTCGTTCTTCTTTTTCTGGACGTTTTTTCAGCATCCTTCAGAAGCAAATTCAAACATTCCCCGGAGTTTTCTTCCGGAGTCATCCGAAAATAGTTTAAAAGTTAAAATTTTCACTCTTAAAAACGGCGAAGATATAAAATGAATTGAAATAGTAAATACCGATAAATACCGATTTTTTTAAACCTTCGATACCGACGAGGATACGAGGAGGATACCGATAAGCTTTAAAACAATCTGGCAACGCTGTTGTCAAGTCCCGTCCCAGTATTCTCTCAGTTCCTTCAATAAAATCCATGTTTCGTCAAGTGAGTGCAGAGTTATTGGCAAATGAGCAAGTTATGCGAAAACTTGTGCAACTGGGTTTGTAATGGGTATGAGTTTTAAAAATCCGATACTTAATTTCAGGGGAAACCTACACCACGGAGGATGCCTTCACCTTAAATCCCGTCGATCGAAACTGCTACGCATACAACGAGATACGAATGAACACAATGCAACGGTATTCATTCGTCAATTGTATGGTCGAATGTCGTACGGAGCACATTTACAAAATGTGCCAATGCGTCCCGTACAACCTTCCAAACAATGGTACCTATCGCAATTGTGAGATGATCGATATGCCGTGTCTATTGGACTATCATGAACTGTACAGCACTGCCATTCCGGTAATGAACCTATCGGTGACGAAGGTGATGGAAAAGGTTCCTATGGTATGTGACTGTCTGCCAAGTTGTGAAATGGTGCAGTATCCAGTAGAAATGAGCTACGGTTTTTTGAATCGGGAGTATTCCTACAATTCGTTGGCATTTTTGTAAGTCGACTGGAGGAAGACATGAGGTCTGTTCCCGTACTTACTGTTTTGCTGTTGCTGTAAGTTACTGCAATTTTCTGTAAGAAAATAATATGGTTACAGAAAAGCAAGTACGGGAACAGACCTATTGAGACGATTGATTTTAGAAGTTTGAAATTCATTACAGCAAGGATATCGAACTCGTCAACCAGACTGCAGTGCATATCTACTTTAACGATTTGGTGTCAACTCGTTTCCGAAAGGATATCTATCAGAACTGGCTCGGAGTGTTGGGTATGCTGCGTAGCAAATATGACTTGATAATTAAACTTGATTGCAATTCTTTTAGCATCATTCGGTGGAATACTTGGGCTGTTTCTTGGCTTTAGCATTATCACGGCGTTCGAAGTCGTCTACTTCTTTAGCATCAGAGTGCTGTTCGATGTTTTTGCCAAGCCGAATGAGCAGCAGGACGAGGAGGAGGGCGAAAGAGATTGATGGAAACGCGACGGCAGAGCATAACGAAAGGCGTTTCTCAAGTCAATGAAAGCTGGAATTAATCAAAAGCGTTAGATTTAAGATGTGTGATGTTCAAATAATAACACTAGTCGGCAAAACTGAAACTTTTTTTTTGCACTCATCGACCAGATGAATTGAATTTAATAGATTCTGTCTCACTGGATCGTAATTCCTATGCACTCCGAATTTTTGTAACACGTACAGTTTTTGAGAAAACCGGGATTAAATTCACAAGTGTTCGTATATTCATGGATATTTAGTTTGCCTGTTCGGTCAAGTTGTATTTCGTTTCTGCCCTTTGAAAGTTAGGCTTGTTTTTAAGAGAATGGACTTTGCTGAATCCACACGTTGTAACCATTCTGTTACAAAGCTTAACCAAATTTTAAATTTGCACCATGTGATCGAGCATTCAAGTAATTCTATATAACACTTGCAGTGAAACGAACTGTACAGCATGCTTGGCATGCACAGTTGTACACACCAACTACTCATTTGTTAATAACTTTTCACTCAGTTGTTGAAATTTTGTTTTCTTTAAAGTAATTGATAGATTAGCATCATAGTTAACTATAGATATCCAAAGAGTAGGTCAATCTTATTATTTGAATCAACACCAATGAATGTTTACACTTAAAATCCGAGATGTGCATCGAGCATTTCTCACTTCACTTTTGCAACGCAAAATCAAATACAGTTTATTGCTAGAATTAAAATCTCCTTGTTTTTACGTATCTATAACAAGCTTAAACTCTATTCTATCGACTTCTTCAAACAGAACTATGTTTTGTCAACTCTGTGCAAAGTTATTAGCAAATGAGCATTTCGTGAGCAAAACTGTGTATGCCAAGCATGCTGGACAGACGATACGACCATGCTTAACGGCCGATTTTTGAATAAGGCGTGCATGGCCGCGGCGAAATGGTGACACGGAGTCATGGGGGATGAGCTTAAGGGTTCTGCGATGCTTAAGGAACGGCCATCGTGCACTTCACCTCAGGCAAGCGTGTAGACCAGAAGTGTATGTGGAGTGCAGGGTTGCTTCCACTCACTAGCTATAAAAAAGGTTTTTTTTTTTTTAATTATGGAATCATTGGGACGGTACTAATGGATAATTTTGGTCACTATTGCAAATTTAGTCGATTGCTGAATTTTTGTATGGGCTCAAATTAGGGGCATTAAGGCCGACATTACATCCATTTCCCCTATTTACGAAACGATCGTAAGAGAATATACGAAAAAAACATTTTCTGTGCGTAAAGAACAAGTAAAGGAGAATTTCCCTTCCCGGTTCGACAGAGGGCGGCCTTGCCGTTGTTGACCGGCAGTGGTCCGGATCTATGTTCGCACTGCGGTACGTGCGGACGTTGATAATGTCGGAGAAGAATTTCCCGTCGATTAGAACGTGTTTCTGTGTGTTGGTCAGGTGATCTCCAGGTGAATTTGTGGATATCCTTGCGGGTGAAAAAGGTACTTCAAACTACCATACACCGAGAGGCTGCAAAGTTCACGCATCGTTGGCCGTTGTCGTTCATACGGCATGCAGGCTGTTTGGTCTATACATTGCCTCCCGTTCTACCTGAGCGTTCATGTCGCCGATGACGATTTTGACGTACCGTTGCGAACAGCCGTCGTACATCTGCTCCAGCTGCGCATAGAACGCTTTTTTTCTCGTCGTCGGGTCTAAAGTTTTAAATTAGGGTAACTGATGATGGTTGGACCTATTCAGGCCGGTTTCACACAACGTCAACATTCATGTCGTATTTGTTTTATGAATTCAACATATAATTATAAAAAATGCGTGATTAGGGGAAAGATCTACCTTTCTTGTTTCTAATAATAACATAAAAAGTTAAATATTCTGAACAAATGATTTTATAAAGGTTTTTATTCAGCAAAAAATTATGATGTTGGTTGGACCTATACTGATCTTGATTGGACCTAAAAAATTATGATGGTTGGACCTATTTTTGCAAATGCTAGTTTAGCCCATATTTGTTCAAAAACTTTGATTAGAGCTTATTGATATCATGAAAAACCCCTTTTTATACAGTTTTTATGAATTTGCTATTTAAAAAAATCAAGAAATTTTAATTTAACTTCGTTTTTAAAAAAGTTCACTTTCCACGCATTAGCTATTCATCATGGCTCATGTGTGTGTGTGTGTGTGTGTGTGTGTGTGTACAATCTAACCCCCACTGTCCGGCAGTGTTATTATGGAAGAAAACTGCTTTTTATTACCCTTCAATTAAAGCAGGTTTAGTCCGGGAGTTAGAAGGTTTTAGCTCTATTGCAGCTCCAGTGACCCATTTCAGAATACCTGGTAATTCACGACCACTCCGAGGTCACTTTTACTTACAATAAGCCCCGCATGTTCACTCTACCTTTATCAAATGGATAATGGTATCATAAACACACTTCCAGATTCAAAAAATATTATTCCCAAATCTGGCACGTATATAGTTTTGACATTTGTTCAACTGTATTAAATCGATATAAAAGGACATTTCTTACCAATTTTGTTTCGAATACCTCTTGATTCATCTGCTGGCAGCACTTACTGGCCCTTACCGGCGACCAACTCGTCTGCCCGCAAAAGCAACAACGCCTAAATCTCAAAGCTCTCCGGACGTCCTTTCGAAAATGCAATCGAGATATGTATAAGAACAATCTTCAACTGGAACGTACTCACCAAATCAATACATCCGGGAGCACATTCCCGATGCTTATTTTTCTCTCGCATGCCCGTCGTCGTCGAACGGCAAAAAAAAAGGAACTCGGTGAGCAATTTTGTGATACGGAATTTTCACTGAACATAAACCGCGAATTTACGAATTTCACCACTCCCAACTGCGAAACACGTTTAGAAGCACTTTTGGTACACTTTCGATCAATTTCTTTCGAAAACACAATAAAAGTTGCAAGCAGCGAGCCAACATCAACACCGATTGTGCCGAACTCTTTCACGCACCTTGCAGCGCGTAAATAAACTGAAATTAAAAATTATCACTCGCGATGCCACTAATTTCTGGTCCGGGAGAAAATCAAATAACGCAGATTGCGACATCACTCTTCTGATGTTTGCAAACATGTTGAATCACGTTTTCTTTCTCTATTCTAAAACTTCCCGGAAAGCGAGAAAACTACCAATCACACACGTATAAACGTCCGGGAGGCAGAGCGCCAGCGCTAATCCGGCAAATGCAGCCGAAAACTATGAACGCGAACGCACGCACAAAACAGAGAACAAACAACCATACCCAAAGGCGTTCGAAACTGCAATCTCAATTGGCAAATCAAAGTTGGCACTCGTGGAGAATAGAAGAACTATGAGAGTGATGATGGTTTCAAAATTTTACACGGTGAGGTATACGAATGCAATCTTAAAAAGCTTTTATTTTGCAAATGGAACATTTTATTTAAATCTGGTTGATGCTATGTTAGTAGAAAACTTAAGGACTACACAATAGACAAATAATACAGAAAAATTAATTTAATTTCAGATTTTTAGGTGTACACATAGATTTGAGCTTTTCTACCACTGTAGCAGCAACCAGAATAAAATAAAATGTTCCATTTGCAAAATAAAAGCATTTTAAGATTGCATTCGTATACTTCCCCGTGGAAAATTTTGAAACCATCATCACTGTTATAGTTCTTCTATTCTCCACGAGTGCCAACTTTGATTTGCCAATTGCCATATTATTCACAGATATGACAAAACATGCAAGCTACATTGTGACAGATTTTAACTTGAAAAAATTATCAATAAATTTACTATGATTTTTCAAACATTTACATGAAAATTGCACTTCGTAGCTTTGACTGACATTTTCTCAATACCTACTTTTTCCATATGGGACTGATATGTGATTATAGGCAGTATACAAGTGTTACTAGGTGTTACTGTACAAATAAGGCTCATGCTCATAGTTGGTGATACAAGTGTATCCGCGGCATTGCAGCCTTCATCCTCACTCAGATTCACACGGCCAATGAGATCAACCCAAATTAGAGTTCAGTATACTCATAATCGCAAGAAGTGCAGGAACTCAGCGAACAGTAAATTTGCCATATGTTTTCCTGTTGAAACCCCAAAAATCTGCCGAAACTGAGGGAAATTTTACTGTCTAGGTGCAGTACTAATAGACAGAGAGAATCCATCGTTACTTTTCTCGGATTTGGGATTTTTTTTTCCTGGAAATACATGAGGCAAACTTACTCATCGTTGAGTTCCTGGACTTATTGTGATTTATGAGTAAACTGAACTCAAATTTATGTTTATCTCATTGGCCGTGCAGGTTTCTCGGGTAGGATGGGAAAGGAAAGTTCTTGATGGAAAAATAGCAACACGAGATTCTGCGCTTATCATCACGTTGGCAACGGCGAACAGCAGGATGCTCGAGGATCGAATCCCAGCAAAAGTTGGGGCTCTGTTGGGGAAAAACTTGACCGACGGGGCGTCCTGGTTCTGGGTTTCCGATCCTTCTTTGACCGGCAGCAGTTTGATTGCGGCTGCGTTTTTTCAGCGCATTCAATAGGAGCAAAGTTCGATGGATGCTCGTCAGAAAAACGGATTGCTAGTTCCATCTTCATAACATGAAAACTTACCGTATCAACCGTCACGATTCTGGCACTGATCACTGTCACTTCACAAAACTATTTGTTTTCACTTCTCTTGCTGCTTTCAAGCCTACCCTAATAAAAAAATTACCACACGCGAACGATAACCACAATAGTTGAACTATTCCAGCAATTGTTTGGATGATACCCCGAACACGTTGTTAAGCAAATTAACCATAACATTTTTATTAGGGTACGAATATAGGCCATTCTATACGCATCGTGCGAGTATTGATCAGCTATTCATCATGGCTCATGTTCTCGGAAAATCATTGACGCGATTTGGAAAATTTTAAACGTCAAACTATAAGTATTGTGGTCCCATTGAAAGCTATTGAATATTTTTGGAATCGGTCAACTGGTTCCGGA